AGTTCAACATTTCCTAGCAAAGACTCTCTTGGTAACTGTAGCCTTCTTTCAGAATTTTAATTGTTGTTTTCAAATGACAGAAATGACCTGATTTACTATGTTACATGCTTGTTCTTGACTGGGAGGGATGCAACCTGCAGGTGGCGGAGGTGCTCATTTCCTCTGGAATCACTGTGGGAAGGAACCAGAACTGCTCTCCAGTACTGCTCCCTCCCCTCATGATGGCTAAGGCTGCACTTTCCAAATCTTGGGGGAATCCAAAGGCCCACGTTCTTCCTTGTGTGTTGCATTCAACCTCTCTTAACCGGCAAGTTCTTCCCTATGTCTCATCTAACTTTATTTTACAGCCACTAAGTGAGAAAATCCTAGATGAGTTGCACTGCAGAGAACTAGACAAGTCGGTGGTGTATCACTTCAGTTTATAGTTGAGGAATTGGGGGTCCCCAGAGGAAGAGCAACTTGGAAACATTCTGGGGCAGAACTGATAGTAGAGTCCAAGTTTTCTAAAATTATGTGATTAATCGATTTTGTGGCCCTTCCCAAGTCTTAAGGAGTAATGGTGCTTTTAACCTTTAAGAAGATGAGCCTATAATTGGTAAAAGCTGCACTGTATAACTAGGCCTTTAATTTATTTTGGCATAGGTTTTATTCCATTGGGAACATGGTACATGCTTATTCTAGAACAGTGCTGTCCAGTAATATGCGCCACGTATGTAATTTTTAACTGCCTAGTGGCCATAGTAAAAAACAAAAAACCCACAGGTGAATTTGTTTTAATATATTTTATTTAACCCAATATGACCAAAATATTCCAACATGTAATCCGTATAAAAAACGTTAATGAGATTATTTTAGATAAAATTTCTGTGTTCAGTCCTTGAAATCTGGTGTGTCTTTTACACTTAGAGCACATTCAATTCAGATGATCACATTTCATCTACTCAGTGGCCACATGCGGCTAGAGAGTCCTGTATTGAACAGCACAATTACAGAGCATTTGGAAAATACAGAAAAGTGAATGGAAAATATGTCTAAAATTTTCTAAAGAGATGAACACTGCCAGTACTTCTGCCAGTCTTTTTTCATGTGCATTCTTTTTGGTGGGTGTTGGTGTTCTCCATGGCTGAGATTGTCCTCTAGGTACACATTTGCATGCTGCTGCATGGTTGATTCTGATCCACAGTTGGTTTGAGGGCTGTGGGTCTACTGGAGACAGCACTAGAATGCGAGATAGTCAGTGGACCTGGTCTCAGTCCCAGTTACACCATTACATAGTTGCTTAGCCCTCGAGGACTCAAACTGTAGGGGCCACTTTCCTTTCCTGTAAAGCAGAGGAGTTGAAACACATGATCTTTGGTTTATTTTAAAGTCAGTGTTTTGAACATGTGAGTCACCATTAACCAAAGTCCACTTCGTTCTGCCTTGGCATCTAGGGACTAGAAAGAGATGCCAGTGTTTTCTGACTTCTATTGTACGCTTTGCTTTCTTTGCCCCTGACATTTGAGGATGAAAATTTTCTAACGTACAAAAAGGTTGAAACAGTTGTACACTGAACACTTGTATACCTAGATACTCTCAGCAAATTTGTGTGGTACTTGCTCAAGCACTTGTCTGTCCCATCCATTAATCCGTCTTAATTTTTTGATGTTTCAAAGTCAATTGCAGAGATCCCTACACTTTCCCCTAAGTATACTCTTTGCTTTTGAACAGACCTCTAGCCTCTTGCTCACCTGACCGCATTTCTCTGTTCTAACTTCCTGTGTTGTTGTTTTTTTTTTTTAATAGCAGAAAAGCTTCAGCTCATTGATGATCAGTTTGCGGATGCTTACCCTCAGCGTCCCAAGTTAGAATCTTTAGAAATAAAGTTAAATGAATATAAGAGAGAAATAGAACAGCAGCTTCGGGCAGAAATGTGTCAAAAGGTAAGTTGTATCTTGTTGCTGTTAGCAAGAGTCATATTGGTGCTTATCTTTTGATGCCTTAATGTTAGGTATAAGGGGAAAAATGGAGACACTTTATTAATGAATGTGATAAACTATTGCACATGTGATTTTTCTTTCTAATTGATGTCATTTTTTGTGCCTTTTGAATGAATGCTACAGGTACAGTGAATGAGATGAAACTAAAGATGAGTTAAACTAAATATATTTAAGTAGAGCATTAGTGTTAAACCTAGCCATCAAGAGAGAAGTTATTTCTTTCGTATAGTTATTGGTATTTATAGTTATTTGTAATCAATTGGCAGTTGAAGTATTTTAAAGATACCGAAATAGCAAAAGTTAAAATGGAAGAGAAGAGAAAGGCTGAGAGAGAGTTAGCTGAGTTCCGGAACGAACTGGAGCGAGCTTGTCAAGCAAAATCTGAAGCCCTCATTTCTCGGGAAAAGATGGCTCTTGAGAGAATTCAAAAGCACCAAGAGGTAACATTTTACCGTTATTTACCGGGTGTCTGTTTCCTGCAGCTCTTAGTAGATGGGCTCAAGGTGTGAGACGGGGTTGGGACAGTTGGTTAGACAAGACGGAGCCCTGCAGGAGTACTAGGGACTGGGGCCAAGAGCACGGATGGAAGGGTCAGCCTTGAAAACGGTACGCAGACCTCGTTCCCCCGACACGGCTGGAAGGAAAGAACTGTGAGTGCGAACATCCGTGTGCGGGTTCTGAGAAACTCACGCTGAGTAAGCTCCATCCTCTTGGGCAGATTTGAGGGTTCGGGGGGCAGCTTCCAGAAGAGGATCAGCAATTGGGGAACGGTGGCGTGGGGGGAGAGGCAGAGCGGTGAACGCTCTGAGGCAGACAGCACTGATGGCACTGTGTCGAGGGCCCAGCTGAGACGGGCAGCTTGTGACTGATGTAGACCAGACCAGGTGCTTGCAGGCGATTGTTCTGTTCCAGTTCTTGGGAAGCTTTGTAAGGTTAGCCAGGGTAGAAACAGGCACCTGGGGAGCGGAGCTTTATAGAGCTGACTTGGCTTGAGAAAAGCAGCCTGTTTAATTGAAGACACTGGGGCTCAGTGGGGTGGTGAAGGAAGCCAGAGGGCAAGATGGGTGGCTACTAGCCCAGGGGAGAAGGGAAGGCCATGTGGCAGAGTCCGAGACCTCGAGGACTAGGTCTGGGGCTACCGACAGGTGGAAGGGTAAGCATGGGCCAACAGGATAGGGCTGCAGGCGGAGGTGTCACATGAAGACTGGCAACAAAACGCAGTGTGCTGCCATTGGATCAAAGGTCAAGGTACCCGGAGTAGCGGAGTCCAGGCCTGCAGAAGTCAGTCAGGTGGCCTCTGATCTTCTCTCGCGGAGGGTGACTGGACAGGAGGTGGAAAGGTTGAGGCATGGCGGGAGGCGTGGGGTCCACTCTTGTAGGACAATCCAGTTCCTTTCCCAAGGGGCTATCTTTGACCGGCCTGGATTGGGACCACTGTTCCCTGTGTCCGGCCGGAGCTGCTGCCATCGGGAGCTCTTGCTCGGGACTTCTCAGTCAGACCCAGTCGTTTCATGCTGATTGCGTCCCCTAGACGGTTTTGTTTACCATTTCTGGTGATTGGGCTCCTGTAAAAATAAATGTGGGAAGCACTGTCTTTGAGATGATTGGATTATGTTTAGATGAACAACTGCATCCTCAAGATCGGTGACTAATTCAGACCAATCAGTTACCAGACCAGAATACTCATTCATTCATTCATTCATTCATTCATTCATTCATTCATTCATTCATTCATTCATTCATTTATTTATTTTAAAGATTTTATTTATTTATTTGACATAGAGAGACAGAGTGAGCACAAGCAGGGGGAGTGGCAGGCAGAGGCAGAGGGAGAAGCAAGCTCCCCACAGAGAAGGGGGAACCTAATGTGGGACTCGATCCCAGGACTCCGGAATCATGACCTGAGCCGAAGGCAGTCGCTTAACCAACTGAGCCACCCGGGCGCTCCCAGAATACTTGTTTAGTTAACTGATTCTCTGAAGGCTCTGGACAAGAGGGCCCTCCTCATGCAAAGCATCGTGTCTTTCTTCCACCACCTGGAATGCCCTTCTCTTTCCGTCCCTGATGAAACTCGCTTGGCCTTCAAAATCCAGCTGGAATGTCACCTCCTTGTGATGCCTTCCCTGGACTTCTACTGACAGACTGATTCGCCTGTCACTCCTGCCACGAAGTCTTTCTGTATTTTTGTTATAAGATCCTCACATTGTAGTCTGATTATTTCTCTCTCCCTGACTGAACTGCAAATTTTGTAAAGGCGAGACCTGTATCTGCATCCTTCTCTGTCCAGCTCGAGTGTGCTGTTTGACATAGGCTAGGTATTCCATGAAGCCTTGCTCAGCAGACACACAAATGGAGGTGTGGCCCATTCAGCTTGCCACTCCTGAGTCAGAACGGGAACTGAAACTTTCCGACAGCAACAGAAGCAGGGGAATTCTATTCTTTTGACGTTTTATTGCTAAACACCCATTTTGTCATTTTTTTCTTGCTGAAGCACTCATCCGAATTTTAAGCGTCTGAGAGATGTTACGTAGAATAAATAGACCAGGGATGTTAGGAATACAGGATAATGGAGTTTCACAGTCATTGAAGGAGGGAACATGTGTTTGGGTAAGGAATTAGGCAAAAAAGCATACCTCGAATTGAAACCTCTTAAGAGAAAGGGAAATTGTAACCCTAAGTGTCTGGAGTTTGTTTTCCGGAATTTAGGAAGCAGTATGTTCAGATCTGTTTTATTTTCTTTAGCTTGCTTACTAAAAATTAAAGCTTTCATACACAGATGGAAACCAAAGAAATTTATGCTCAGAGGCAGCTTCTACTAAAAGATATAGATTTGCTAAGAAGCAGAGAAGCCGAGCTGAAGCAACGGATCGAAGCTTTTGAATTGTGAGTAATGTGTATTCGTTTCAGATATTCAGAATGAATGAGATTTAAAAGAACTAAATAAGTGTCTTAATAGTCTGATGCTAATTGCCAAGTAGAGTTTTTAGTTGTTAAAGTGACAACACCTGGTTTTAAAAGGCACAGATTAAGAGAAACAAAGACTAGGGTTTCATTTATGAAATACTAGACATTAGGGTGAAAAGCAGAACTGAGACACCATCATTGGGCTATAGTAAGAGCAGATACATGATTTGAAGAGGCTAATAATGCTTTGACAAATCCTGTGTTTCTCATTTACGTTCCATTCAGATCTAATAGTTTCACATGCACATAGCAACTGAACTCCAGATACCCAGACCTTCCATGTTCACTTGCTCTACTGTAAAAAAAAAAAAAAGGAAATATGGTGGCTCTGACTTGACTTGTACTGGGTGAAACTATTTCTCTTGGTTGTGTGTGTGTTACTTTTTCTAAGTGCTCACAGATGTATCAACCTTCAAATCTTACCTGGGATTAATACCAAGCTCACCAGTCTGTAGTTGGTGGAATAAGCTTTCTTTCCCATTTGGGATCTTGACATTCACAGATACTCCAGGAATCCGATTTTATTTAAGAGTTTGTCTCCATCTTCATTAATGTTGTTTTTTCATTTTCGTAGGCTCTATTCATTTGATTTCTTCTCTCTGCCTACCTTACTCTCCTTTTGGCGATACTGAAGTGGCACATTGATAGAGAAAAGTAAAGGGGCAAAATTTGGGCAGATTCTCAGTTACATAATTATGATTATATAATCACTTCCTTACCTCCACGTCCCGGACTCCTCCTGTCTAAGCATATTAAACTAAAATAAATGGATTTAATGCTCCTTTGCTTTACAGATGAGCCAGCAGAGGGAGCTCTAACACAAAGCGTTTATCCTTTGCTTGAAACAGACCGTGTTCGTAGCACTCCTCACTGCGGTTTGGTCTAAGTACTTGTGAACCTGACTCCCGGCTCCAGAATTGGTTTTGTGGGTGACTGGGGGGGGGGTGTCTCTCCATGAAAAGCACTCCATTCTCCGGATTTGGAGGTTCTGAAGGACCCATCTGTCGTTTGCTCTCTCTCGTCACTCTTTTCAACATTCATTCAATGGATTATTAAATGCCAAAAATGAATCTTCTACCTATAATTCTTATGGGCTCATCAGTTAAGTCTCACAATTAGAAGTAATACTCTAGAAGAAACAAGCATTTAAGTACACTAGAGTTTGGTTTGTAGCTTTGTAACTAAAAACATCAGTTTTTCATCCCTAAATTGATGATAGCCATTGATCCCCTGTAACCCTTTTTTGAGTGTGGGTCCTCTTCTGTAAGAGACCACTTTGGTCTTGGTACATTCACACTCCCCTTAGGTGCCACCGGATAATTCCATCTGCTAGTTGATGAACTAAGTCAGTGCATAAAATAGATGGAGGAACTAAAACACGGGCTATTTTTTTACCCCCTAAATTTGTTACTTCAGATGTTGTGGTTTTCTTATTTGCTTTCTCTCTTTTTGCTAATTTCAGGACTCAGAGGCTGCAAGAGGAAAAAAATAAAAGCCTAACTGACACACTTAGGAAGCGGGAACTGAATATAAAGAGCCTTGAGGAGAGCTATGACCAGAAGCTCAAGAATGAACTTCTCAAGTAATTGCGTGGCATTGCTAAAGGAATCCCGTGTTTCATTAAGTTGCTAGAAGCACAGCAACGCTGATGAAATAGATAAGACGGACAGTTTTTTTTGGGGGGGGGGAGATAAGATGGACAATTTATGGCAAAATTTGGTGTTTAAAAAAATACAGGTTTTCATTGGTAGTCAAGGCTCTCCCATGAATATTTAAGGTGGGTTTAAAAAGATGCAGAGAATAGCATCCTCTGCTCGTTCTTACTCATAGCTTCTCTGACACTGAGAGCTTATGGTTTGCTTCAGTTTTTATGGCACCTTAGGACTTGCTCAGTTTGCACAGCTGAGCAGCTGAAAAGTCAGAAGTACAACCACTTTCCTCCGTTCTCTCCTCATAGTGGCATGAAGATGGGGATAGGCCACAGTTTCTCCAGTGGTGGTCTTATCGGTGACAGGGTTCGTCACTGAACGTGTGCCCGGTATTCCTTCAAGGTTCTGCCAAGCCCGAATCCAGAAAAAGGATTAGCTATAGGAAGCAAAACACAGCATAGGAGAGGAGAATATGGATAAGTGTGGTCCCTGGGGCTTTCCTATAGCCTGAGTTTTGTATCTTGGTGAATAATCTCTTCATGCAAAGACATTAAGCCCATATGGTAACTCCCTCCCATGCGTGGCGCGCCATCTGGCACATAGCAAGTGCTCAGTTAATGCATGTGTAGTGAAGCGATGACTCCGCTCAGCAACTCTGGGCGGGTCTTAGTCATTGGCCTCATTTTTATTGCCTTGCTCATAATTTGTCATTGGTATTCCATTACATAGTACACACCGAGGTTTCTGGAAGTTATTCCTTAAAAGAATTCTGTTAAAAAAGGTAGCATCTTTTCATTGTATCAGTTTTGAAATGATGGATTTGATCTACCTATTTTATGTCTGCTCCTCTAACATACTAGCGAACACTGACGTAACCCTAGTTGTTAAACACATTTTTCTTCCTTTATTCCTCACAGTTTGTTAACTTCACCTAGCCATGGATATAGTGAACTGTTTGGTATCATTTGTCCGGCTTTGGGTGTCCTTCTGTGTCTTTAGCCAAGTGTTGAAGTTGGGAGGATATCACAGGATTGCTTCTCCTTCCTTTTTCTGGCCTCTGAACCAGAAAGTCAGCTGGTAGCAGCTGGTGGAGATGGCTGAAGCCCCGAGAGATGTGCCTTTGGGTATTGCTAATTCAGGTCTAATGCTCGTGGCAGTTGGCTCTCAATGCCGTGCTCAGCCTTTAAGGGCAAAAGTTCTTATCTTAGGGAGGGGAGATGGATAGGTGAATTGCAAGTGACTGACTTGGTTATCATTTGGGATTTAGAGTCTGTCATGCACACTGTAAGTTGGCCTTAATTTACTAGCTTGTGTCAGTCGAGACCAACTGAGAAATAATTGCTCTCTGTAACCTCACAACAACAACAGGACCCTTGATCTTGTGTGACTGAGTTTTGGGACCAAATTGACAAGATCACAGCAGGGTTTTATAGACCTTTTATGTTCAGAATTCATATCCCTGGCTTTTGTCTTGAGAGAGCCTGAGGCTTACATGTTGTCACTTTCAGTGCCCTTAGATGCCCCGGCGCCACAGATAAGCTCGTGTATTGATGGTAGTCTGTCCAGGAAAGTGACAAGGAGCTCATTTTTGGTTCTTCTGATTGGCAGGTATCAACTTGAACTAAAAGATGACTATATCACCAGAACGAACAGGCTGATTGAAGATGAAAGGAAGAATAAAGGTGACTCTGGGGGCAAGCTGTGTTTTTCAGCACTGATGTAGGCTCTTAGCTTCCTAGTTGGGCCTGTTCTGTATTCTAAAAAAACACATAGCATACACATCCTTGTTACTACGAAAATTACATGTTTTTTGTTATTTTAATTTTACAAAATAAAAAAAATACTGTCTTACTACATTTTTGTGAACCTTAGTGTTTAACCTTTTGTATATTCACAAGGGTTAGTGATTTATCAGCAGGATTTTCATCCAACTTTATTTCAATGTATTTTGATAAATATGATTTGTCAAGAAGGTGGCAGCAACTTATTGCCATCCCGTAAATATCACTCTTAACTGTGAGAGACTTCATTTTTTCCTAATGAAAATTTTAACTTCTCCGTCCCTGTGATCTAGTTTCTTATTTCTTTTACTTCTAATGTATGTTTATGCTTCATGATATTTCCCTTGACCTATAACCTCTTAAATTCTTGTATACATTAGCCAGAAACTAGGAAAGTTGGATAATTTTTCATTCTTTGAGACATTTTACATTTTAATATGTCTAGGAACTTGTCGATGACAAGAAGTTAAACTTTCAGTGGCCATTTTAAATGGACTCTTAGGAGGACACCAGGGCTAGGTACTTGATACCGCCCAGCCAGGTCGCCCATCGTGGGCCTGCTCCTTCGCAACTGCCTTGTGAAGGCTAATGCTTATTTAGGTATCCGTACCATCGTGGATTCAGCAAAGTATCCACGATGAGGTATATGATGAGGTATCTATATAGACTTGTATTAGATGAAGTAAAAATGATAAAATAATAACTACAGAATCACAACAGACAACTAAATCTCTGCATTCGAGGAAATTCAGACCTGTTGGCATGAGGACCCTGTGCTCTGAGCAGATGGTGTAAGTGGTAAAGGTGTGTGTAGCAGAAGGAAGTTCGCCGCATATTTAACCCTTAAAACTAACGTCCCGTCCATCACCTGTTATGTAACACGGCTCATTTCGTACTTGCCTGCTGATTTTTTTTGACTCTGACATCTGCTGTTTAGATAATGAAATAATAGTCATTAGGGCTGATCTATGCCCATAAATTATTAAATGATTTTGTAGTCCACTAGGAAAACATGATGATGATAATTGGTTGGCTCTTTCTTTCAGAAAAAGCTATACATTTGCAAGAGGAGCTCACAGCTATTAATACAAAAAAGGAAGAATTTAATCATTCAGTAAATCGTGTCAAAGAGCTTGAGGTAATTGTTAAGGCTGTTGTTTTGAAACAGACATTAAGACGATATATGAAACTTCAGTTTTAGTCATACGTAATTTATCTTCAGTTATCCTCTTGATGTGTTTGTTTATTCCGTGACTAAGAAGGTGATGGCTGCACTTTGTTCATTCGCTAGTTCTTCACTTCAATCTTAGTCTCTTAGGGAAGCATAAAAGGATGTCTTTTGGGGCCTAGAGTCCTGCCTGAATCCTGTCTTTCTCCCTTTCTGCTTATGCGCCTTTGGGCAAGTTCTCTGACCTCAGATTCCTTACCTGTAGACTTTGGGATGTTGCCTACATTCCATGATTGTGCAGGGAATTCAGTGAGCAGATTGATGTGCGTAGCACGCAGCTGATACAGACTAGCTTCTACCTCAGCCTCCTCTCCCTTCCCGTCAGCAGCAGGTAAAAATTCCGGTCATGATGTCGGGATCTTACAGCTTAAAACAAAATGAGATGCATTTTTCGTGTGCCACTGTTAACTTTATTTCTATTACTTTGTGTGTTTGCTATCTGAAGGACAGAACTGGAACTTTAGGTACTTAAAATAAATTTTATACACAGAACATATTTTTGTAGCTGTAAGGACTTGAGAGCTTTGCAGGCTGCAAACTTGAGCTCTGTTATACTAAGAAAAAGAAAGCCCCCCGCAGCATGTTAGGATATCTTACCTTTTTATTACAAAAAAAAAAAGTGTGTGTGTAGATCTATTTATCTATATATATGTATTTATATATTGCTACCATCTGTGGTTACGTTGTTGGGCCCTTAGTTGCATCCAGAAAATGGGGTGATTGTCAGAGCACTAGCTTTGCAGGACAGGGTTGTACACAGTAGCAGTTGGATGAACTTGCCCCTGCCCCAAATCAAGGGGAAAAGATGACTTGTACTGCGGGAGTTAGGGTCTCGTTGCGGAGAACCAGACTTCTGTCATGTGGCCTTAATTCAGTCATGATGTCCAGCTTGGGGCGTGAAAGCCTGCCAGCTTTCACTTAAGCAGTCCTGTAAAGTCACTGTTCAAATACAAGTTTTTCTGTTTCAATTGCAGCTTGAGTTAGAATCTGTCAGAGCCCAGTCTTTGGCAATAACAAAGCAAAACCATCTGCTGAATGAAAAGGTGAAAGAGATGAGTGACTATTCGCTACTGAAAGAAGGGAAACTGGAGCTTCAGGCACAAAATAAATTACTTAACCAACAACTGGAAGAGACTAGAAATGAAAACTTGCGTCTCCTAAACCGTAGGTGTTTCTTTCTGATTAGCATGGCTTTGTAACTGCTATTAGCTTAGTACGCTGAAACTGCTTTGTCCTATAAAGGAAGCTTCAATCGGGAAGATTTTATAAAATTAAGATTCTCGAATCAAAGGTACTTTGTTTTTGCTTCCTGCTGCGTAATTGTGTCACTAAGGAGAAAACTTTATTCACTGGACAAATCTGTCCCTCTGGGTGGTACCCGGCTCCCCTTGCCCTCTGACACCTCCGGCCTGGTGGTGCTTGGCCCGTGGGGACCCGCTCAAGCGCTTGGAGGGTGGGAAGAGTGAGGCCGAGGTGACTTGTGATCCCTTCTCCATCTCCTCCTGCGGAGTAGCCCTGGGCTGGCCCTGGGCCTCAGGAAAGCGAGACCCCAGTACCTGGGGGCTGGCGCCTCACCAGCACCCTGTGCCTGCTCGCTGTCCCCAACTCTGGGAATGCCTCCCTTCCTGACCCTCCAGGCCTGAGGACTGGTAACAGCATGGCCCCAGTACTAGCCCAGGGAACTACACCGTCCTTTGCAGTAACCTGTGGAAGTCTCTCTTCATTAAAGGGTCTTCTGATGACCCAAACTGGGGACACCATCTGCTTGCTTTCTGGACCCTGCGTGCCGCTGACAGATTCACAGGTCAGGTTGGACCTAGGGGCAGTCCCTGGCAGGCTTTGACAGAGCATTCTTTCTGTGCCTCTGTGCATAGTAGAGGAGAGGCAGGCATTCACGTTAATTTGAGGATTTGAAAGAATTCTTCTACTGGGAGTAGAACTCTGAAGAGTGGTAAAGTTTGCGATTATGTGCATTAAATTCTTTTGTTCTGAAATTGGTGATTCAGGACTGCTCTTAGTCCATTCAGTAAAACTGATATTAATTGCGTGCATACAAAGGAAGGGAAGAACCATCTAAAGCCTCTTTGGAAACTGTTTTTGTTAAGTAAAATGAGAAAACTTCAGGTTGGTAATGACCAGGCTTTTTTACCTTCATAGATAGAGCTCAGCCATCTCCTGAGCTGGTGGTTTTTCAGAAAGAACTAAAGAAAGCCGAACATGCCATCGCATTTGAGCATAAGGAGTTCGAAAGCCACAGGCAGGCTCTGCAAAAACAGCTGCAAAGTGAAGTGAGTATTGCTCTTGGCTCATCCAAGTGTTAGGGCAGTGCACTTTGTGGGTGTGTAAACTTGGCATGTGTCACACCAGCATAAATCAGATCTATCTGAACATCAGAAATTCCCCCCATATGCTAATTACTCCCCCAGTATTCTTTCTCATCTGAGAAAATTCTCGAGTGATTGTGACATTATATTCATGGTAGTAAGAAAATCAAGAGGAAAGTAAACTCTCTTAAACACCCAGTTTTCCGAGTCTTGATGGTGCCCACTGTTAAAAGTATCTCTTGATTCTCACCCCGCAACTTCACAGTATTGACGCTCTTTCTCATGTCTACCTCCCGTCTGGGAGTAGCTGCTGTATGAAAGGATTAAAGAAGGAGCTGGAGAACTTGTTAGTGTGTTCTGTTGTTTCACAGGTATAAAGCTGCTCAGAATTGCAAAAAAGAGAAAGAGAATAGCCAGATGAGAGAATTGTTCTTTTGAAATAAACTGATTTGTTTTACTTTCATTTCTTTTCCTTCCCTAAATCTTTTCAGATTGAACATTCTGCACAGCTGAAGGCCCAAATACTTGATTATGATAACTCTGTAAAGAGGTTAACTCTGCAGGTTGCCGATTTGAAATTGCAACTGAAACAAACCCAGACAGGTTGGAGACATTTTTAGCGCGCGCGCGCGTGTGTGTGTGTGTGTGTGTGAGATTGTGAAAATGTAATGATGATTACTCAGTGAATTTTAGTAATTCTCATAGTAGTGGAGGAGCTATAGAAATAGGTGTCACCTGAGAAGTATAACTTCTATTTCAGGACTACCCACCAGGTCATCCTCTAAAGTGACTTGCTTTCACGGATGACCCATGGCTCAGGAGAGGTGTGGTAGTGACACAGAAGTCCCCAAATTCATCCGGAACCTAGGCTTTGCTTTTTTGTTTGTTATCCCGCCACTAAGACCAGTTGACCGTTTGGTGGTTTTACATGTCCCTGGACAGACGTGTACATGTGTGCGAGAAGCAGGGCGGCCAGCAAAATGAGTCCCGCTGCTAGCGGAGTCTGGAAACACTCTTTGTTTTGGGTCCCAGTTGTGAAGTTCGTTGTTTGCCTTGGGCATGCTCCGTTGAACTTCCTTGGGCCTCAGTGTCCGCACTGTAATAGGGCTAGGAGTGGCGCTGGGCCACATGGATGAAGATGAAGCGAGAAAGATGGCGGTACGGTGCCTGGGACACACACAACACGAGGAGGTGGTTTCTGCTGTCGTTTTTGTACTGTTTTCATTGCCAAGCCGACGTCTGCCCCTTGCTACTTCATAACAAGGGTGCTGAAGGTTCCATACCTTCTTTAGCTGCTTGTAGGTGCAAAGCAAGTTCCTCTGTGTTACCAGTTGACATGCTTTCTCACTTCTTGGTTCTGAACCCTCCTCAGGCCCAGTTATAGTCTGCCCTGGTCAGGCCCTTGTTCGCATCTCCCCACACGAGTTTTCCCTTTACTCATTTCTACTCTTGTTTGCTCTTCACTTTCTCTAAATAAATCTGTTTGCCAGACGGCCCACAGCTGAAATTCTGGTGACCTCATATCATGAACAGTAGTTCAAGAAGGTGGAACCTTTTGAACCCCTGCTTTGCACATGGCGAGCCTCTGTCCGGCAGCGCCATCAGGTGACGTAGTGGTCCCAGGTACTGGCTTTGCCCTAGGACATGCCAGTGGCTCTCCCATCGTGCTCACTGCGTGAGCCAGCCTCAGTAATCTCAGCCCCCCCATCTGTAAAATGGGAGCAGTGCGCATTCTTAGCCCACAGTGTTGTTGTGACTGCGTGTCTTCCTTCCCTTATCGGAAACTCAGGCCCTGTGCTGTGGTTTGTGGATTTTGCCACAGCCCTGGAGGTTCTGGGCAGCATCCTGCAGTGAAACAAATTAATTTTTTTGTAATCAAATGGATGAATATTCATGCTAGGTGGAATAAGTAAAGATTGTAAATGGGTTTCTATTGGTTCGGGTCAAACTTTTCAACCAAGTGAGTTGAGGTCTGGTTGGGCTTTGCCACCAAATAAATTAGGAATATATTTTCGGTTTTCAGAGCTTTTTAGATTGCACAACTGTGCATAATGGATTGTGAAATAATATCATGCGTTATGAAGGGTACATATAATCTCTTGATAAATGTTAATAATTACCGTCATGACTGCAGCTTCAAAAACTAATGTGCAAGTTTGGCCTTAATACTTCCTTTTATTTTTGAAAAATCGTGATCTCGATCTATTTTAACTCTCTTCTCCACCTTCTCCGTCATTTCTCACGTGGTCTTCTTGTGACCTGCAGCGCTCGAGAATGAAGTATACCGCAACCTGAAGCAGTCTCTGATCAATCGTTCCATCGATGGACTGCTGAATGGCAAGATGGTGGTGCCTCATAATAGGGATATAAGCGGGGATTTCTTGAAAAATCCTCTCGACCAGGAAAGGCTGATGGCGGTTACACCAAGGATCATAAATTATCCAAATGCAAGCACAGAGAGTAGTTCCCCCGATTCCGACCTTGAGTTTGTAGCCAATACCAAAGCAAGAGTGAAAGAGCTAGAGCAAGAGGCCGAACGTTTGGAGAAAGCTTTCCGAAATTACCATCGAAGAGTTAGTCAGCTCCCCGCTAAACGCCCCTTCGCAGCCAACAGCCAGCCACCCCTGCACTTGCTAGGGACACTCAACAGCATCACTTCGAGTTCGCCCCAAAGACGCACTTGTGCCGAGGACAGAGTTGTCTCTGAGCCTCCGGTGGGCACCCCCGAAGAGGACAAGAGCAGCGCCTCGCGGCCACGCAGGAACACCCCCTCCAGACGCCTCTCCTCCACTCCTGTTCCCAAAGCAAAAAGGAGCCTCGACAGTGAAATGTATCTGGAAGGTGAGCTCCTGCCGAGAGGGTTGCAGGACGCTCTGGATTTGGAAGGGTCTGGTCCTGGGAGGGCCTCTTCCCCGAGTAAGAGTGCAGCCCTGGACGGCAGGAAGGAGCGGGAACTGAGCCCGGAAACGCCTGAGCCCAGGCACTCGGGTCCTCTCTCTCAATCTGCCCTTCCCGGTTAACCGTGGCGTCTCCCCCATGTTGAGGGGATGGGGTCATGTCCTGTTCTAGCAACTTCCTAGGCACGCAGACAGGTGCAGAGTGACAGTGACTTTCCCTTTACCGCTGGTTAGTTGTATATGTTTGATTGTTACCACTGCAGTTTCATTGAGGGGCTTGAATCATTAGTTTTGTAGTTCATTTATGCATCATACTCAGCTGTTTACAAGGTTAGTAGAATTCATTGTCAGCGTAATAGAACTGTTTAGAAACCATGTTGCTGTCTTCTCCTTGCAATTTTTAATAGGCCTTCTGCCCCTTAGGTCTGGACCGATCCCACGCTGCTGGCCCCAGTCCTTGTCCCGACAGAACACCCCGGCCTTCACCCGCTGAGTCCAGGCACAGCCCTTCCGTCCACCCGCTGCCCAGCTCTCCAGAGCAGGCCAGGTAACGCCACCTTCCGCTCGGCCTCAGCCCAGTCCGCTGAGCTGCATGGGGTCTCAGCCCGGACTCGTTTGGGGTTTCTGTGGCAGTATAGAGTTGGTAATCAGGTGGTAAGATGATGTGTGATCTTTGAGAATCATCTAAATTACCTGGAGCGGGGGTGGGGAGGAACATTCCTTTTAGCAAAGTAGTTTCTACTACTTTGCTAAACTTGGTGTGTAGAATCTACACTATGGTATCAGTAAACATCTTCGTACTTCAGAAATAGACTCGGTTAACGAAGGTAAAACAAATTGTCCAAAATCTGGGAAAACAAATTCAGTTTGAGCTTAAGACAGTTTCACACATCACTAAAAAGTCATATAAAAATATTTTGGCATTTAAATATAAACAAACAGGTTCCAGCTTTTTTTTGTACTTGAGTATAGTTGATACACGATGTTAGATTAGTTTCATGTACACAGCATAGTGATTCGACTCCATACGTCATGCTGTGCTCCCCACAACTGTAGCCCCCATCTGTCACCATATGACCCTATCGTACAGCCATTGACTGTAGTCCCTATGCTGTACCTTTTACTCCCATGGCTTACTCGTTTCATAAGTGGAAACCTGTACCTCCCCCTCCCCTTTACCCATTTTGCTCATCCCTCGGCTCCCTTCCCTCTGGCCACCATCACTTTGTTCTTTTTGTATTGGTAGGTCTGATTCTGCTTTTTCTTTGTTTATTCATTTGTTGTTGTTTTTTAAGACTTTATTTATTTCAGAGGCAGAGCACACGAGTGGGGGGAGGGGCAGAGGGCGAGAGAGTCCCAAGCAGACTCTGCGCTGAGTGCGGAGCCCGACACAGGCCTCCATCTCACAACTGTGAGATCATGGCCTGAGCCGAAATCAAGAGTCGGATGCTTAACTGACTGAGCCATCCAGGGGCCTCTGTTTGTTCATTTGTTTTTTAGACTCCACATGTGAATGAAATTACATGGTATTTGTCTTTCTCAGTCTGATTTATTTCATTTAGCATAATACTCTCTAGGTCCATCCATGTTGTTGCAAGTGGCAAAAATCTCATCCTTTTTTATGGCTGAGTAATATCCCATTATGTATAGATGTATATACGCCACATTTTCTTTATCCATTTACCAATTGATGGGCATTTGGGTTGCTTCCATATCTAGGCTATTTTAAATAATGCTGCTGTAAACATAAGGGTGCATGTATCTTTTTAAATTAGTGTTTTCATTTTCTTTGCATAAATACCCAGTAGTGAAATTACTGGATCATATGGTATTTCTGTTTTTAATTTTTTGAGGAACTGCCATACTGTCCACACTGGCTGCACCAGTTTGCATTCCCACCAGTAGTGCACGAAGGTTCCTTCTCCACATCCTGGCCAACAGTTGTTGCTTCTTGTCTTTTTGGTTATAGCCATTCTGACAGGTGTCAGGTGATACCTCATTGTGGCTTTAATTTGCATTTCCCTTATGAGTGATGTTGAGCCTCTTTTCATGTGTCTGTTGGTCATCTGTAGGTCTTTGGAAAAATGTCTATTCAGGTTCTCTGGCCATTTTATTTTATTTATTAATTTTGTTAAAGATTGTATTTATTTGACAGAGAGAGATAGTAAGAGAGAGAGAGAGCACAAGCAGGGGGAGCAGCAGAGGGAGAGGGAGAAGCAGGCTTCCCGTGGAGCAGGGAGCCTGACGTGGGGCTCGATCCCAGGACCCTGGGACCATGACCTGAGCTGAAAGCAGATGCTTAACCGACTGAGCCACCCAGGCACCCCACTCTGGCCATTTTAATCAGATTATTTGTATTATTGGTGTTGAGTTGTATAAATTCTTCACATATTTTAGATTTTAACCCCTTACGGGATATATCATTTACAAATATCTTCTCCCATTCAGTAGGTTGCCTTTTCATTTTGTGATGGTTTCTTTTTGCTGTGCAAAAGCTTTTTATTTTGATGTAGTCCCAATAGTTTAATTTTGTTTTGTTTCTCTTGCATCAGGAGACCTATCTAGGAAAATGTTGCCAAGGCTGATGTAAGAAAAATTACTGTCTGTGCTCTCTTCTAGGATTTCTGTGCGTTCAGGTCTCACATTTAGGTCTTTAACCCTTTTGAGTTTATTCTTGTGTATGGTGTAAGGAAGTGGTCTAGTTTCATTGTTTTGTATGTAGCTGTCCAGTTTTCCCAAGACCATTTGTTGAAGAGACTGTCCTTTCCCCAGGGTATATTCTTGCCTCCTTTGTTGTAGATTAATTGACCATATCAGTGTGGGTTTCTTTCTGGCTCTCAGTTCTGTTCCACTGATCTTTATGTCTGGTTTTGTGCCAGTACCATTGTGCCAATACCATACCGTTTTGATTTCTATAGCCTTGCCGTATATCTTGAAATCTGGAATTGTGCTACTTCAGCTTTGTTCTTCTTCCTCAAGATTGCTTTGGCTATTTGGGGGTCTTTTGTGGTTCCATACACATTTTAAGTATTACTTGTTCTAGTTCTGTGAAAAATGCTGTTGGTATTTTGATGGGAATTGCATTGAATCTGTCGATTGCTTTGGGTAGCAGGGACAAATTAATATTATATTATTTCTTCCAATCCATGAGCATGGAATATCTTGCCATTTGTGTCATCTTCAGTTTCTTTCATCAGTGTTTTTGTGTAGTTCTCAGAGTACAGATCTCGTAGCTCCTTAGTTAAATTTATTTCTAGGTATTATTTTTGGTGCAACTGTAAATGGAATTGTTTTCTTAATTTCTCTTTCTGCTACTTCATTATTAGTGTATAGAAACGCAACTGATTTCTGGGTATGAATTTTCTATCCTGCGACTTCCCTGAATCCATTTATTCTAGTAGTTTTTTGGTGGAGTCTCTAGGATTTTTTATGTATAGGATCATGTCATCTGCAGATAGGGAGAGTTTACTTCTTCTTTTCCAGTATGGATGCCTTTTATTTCTTGTCTGATTGCTGTGGCTAAGACTTCCAATACTATGTTGAATAAAAGTGGCAAGAGTGGACATCCTTGTCTTGTTCCCGATCTTATAAGGTTCCAATTTGTAGATCATTGAAATAAATTCTAAATTGGTAGTGGGTCCTGGGATATGATTGCTAAAGCAGGAGGGAGTGGATGTGTTGAGGAGCTCAGTGGGTTGCCCAGTCTGGGATTTGAGTCACATGTGGAACCACTGTTTGTACCTGGTCCCCATGGCTGGAGACTCTGACTCCTTAGTTCTGGGCTCCAGCCTGGGCTTCTGCATGTTGATTCCATTACACTATACAGAGTTGAAAACTGCCACATGTGCCTGTTACGATCCTAAAGACTGTAATGGTTTTTTTTATATCATTCTTTGTTGTAATAAAGCCAGGAAGAAAGATAAGACGCATGTGCTGAGTTAGGGCCCTTTGATGCACATGGGGCTTGTGGTATAACCTCTCCTGCTGACAGTGTGCTGAGGGGTGTGCAGAATTCGTTTTTTTCTTTTTTTTTTTTTTAAAGATTTTATTTATTTGACAGAGACACAGCGAGAGAGGGAACACAAACAGGGGGAGTGGGAGAGGGAGAAGCAGGCTTCCCACGGAGCAGGGAGCCCAATGGAGGGCTCGATCCCAGGACCCTGGGATGATGACCTGAGCCAAAGGCAGACACTTAATGACTGAGCCACCCAGGCACCCCCAGAATTCGGTTTTTTCAAAAATGTTTTCTGGTTCTTGAAAAAGTCAGCTCCTCCTAGGAACAATGTGGGAATGATGGTAGTAGCTATCTCACAGCATGTGGTGGTATGAGGAGTCACCCCCCGACAGCTTAGAGGGATGCCTGGTGCATGGAAGGTGCCCCCTACAGTGTAGCTCTTATTCTTCGTGAGCCCAAGAAAAACTGCTTTTCGAAAGCATT